TTCTCCGAACATCGTGATGAGTCACGATACTCCGGCCAGCGAGAAAAAAAAGGTGAAAAAAGGTAAACGTCAAACTGTGATATGACGGATAAGGCAGAGGTTTTACATGGTAAAAACATCACGCTACACATCAAAAACTACAAAATTCATCAATCAATCCAACGTAAGTGATTTAAGCAGTGAACTGGAGGTGTACCACTGTAGGCTCAGCCAACGGCAACAAGCGATCCGAGACAACGTTGATCAGTCTGGAGGTACGTAGCCGTTAGTGCGCGGGACGCGTTCTCACTGAAAAAAGTAATGATGAGCAGGGTGACGTTTCAATGACGCTCGGTCGGTTCTTTTTCTATTTTTACCGTTTTATCATCATCGCGTCGTGATCTTTTTCACTTCATGCGCGTCGTCTCGTATCGCTTGTTGTTTTGAATATGAATATGAAATAAGCGAATTTGAAAAAAAAGTTTTCCTTGAGTTTAAATGAAAAATGAAAGTGTTCGAAAAAAAGTTTGGTTTATGTTCGTTCGTGTTTGTTTTCTTTTTGTGGTTGTGTTTTCTCCAGGTCCGTGTCCTCACCATTCATTCATGGTATTGAAACGGACACATAACGGTATGATGGCGCGACATGTCCAGAAGCCTACGAGCCTGTTTACAGAAAAAGCATACGCTTCTTGTTGACATGCCGTGGCCAGATGAGTGGCCGGGCCAAAACAGCGCTCGCAGCGATTGAGTTCGAGGAACCTGCGGCGACGCGAACTCAGAGAGGGAAACCTCGAACATGTGTTGGACCAATGATGCTCGTTACAAAAAAGACAATTGCTCGGCGGAATGTTCGAATTATTGGAAATGTTCGACACGTTCGAAACAATAGGAACTTGAACTTGCGGTATGGAGATGGTCGCTGGCGGAGGTGCTAACGCCGTGGACGGGATCTGCGGTGCACCAACGGGCTGGAGTTGCATAGGTGCGGTGTAGCTGGCGGACGTGGATGGTTCTTCTTTGAAGGTGACTTGAGCCGCGACGTGAGATCGTTCTGGCTTAGCATTTGCCGTGAGTATGCAGTCTTCGAAGTGGTCGACCAAATAGTCTACGGAGCCCTAAATTAAGGTTAAGGCATTTATCTTGGGAAGTGAACATTAAAAGCTACCTTCATTTTTTTGCGCGAGATGTGAGTTTCTTTTTCAGCACGTTTGCGCTTGCGTTCTTGCTTAAATGTATGGTGTATGCAACTCGATAATGTTATGAAGAGTTCGAGAAATTTACCCGATGAAGTTTGATTTCCTTGCGTAGTTCGTTGATCTCCTGCCGGATCGTCGCCATTGCCGTTTGCATTATTTGCATCCCCGGACAAACGACTTGCGGAGGGGCGCACATCTGCGGAGGCACAAACAAAACCGGAGCTGCTGAGGGCATTTGTTGCGCAGTCACTCCTTGCACAAATGCCGTAGTTGGTGGCCGTGACGAGGGTGGATCCATTTGAGATGAACCTTGCTTCTCTTCTTCGGCAATTTTTAATTCGTCTTCGACGTCTTCTGTGTGGTCAACGCACATTTCGCTGTCTTGTTCGACGATGTCTTTGCGGTCGGACATCCTGAAATTGTGTTGTTTTGTTTTTTGAATATGGTCGCAATGCGTCTATAACGATACAAAATTGATAAAACGATAAAGCGACACAACAAGTGTTAAATGAGTTGCAAACAGCGAAGGATCAGTTGGAGCAAGAAGGTTGGTATGCGTAATACGAGGTGAAGGATTCGACGAATGACTTTGATAGCGAGAAGGAAAGGGAATGGTAAGCACAGTGTAATGTTTTGAGCTGTCTGTCCTTTTCTTTGTGTGCTTGGGTTCGAGCTTGATCGTAGGACTGATAGGGAAAAGGCGAGGGCAGCTATGAGAATCGTCAGTGTGCAGAGAGAAAAGAAGAAATATCGACTGACGATTGCGAAGAAATGTTCTATATCGGGAAAATCCAAGTGAAGGTAGTTATTTGAGTTGGTACTACCATTGCTATTTATGGAGATAAGTCTATGGATCGGTAGAGATCCCCCTACAAAATGCAACTGGCCAGATATTGAAAAAATGTGCTCGGTTTTGCCACAGCGTGCCTGGCAAGTTTCCTTGAAATACGCTCTATTGGAGTAAAAACGAATTTCGTTCGTATGGCCTCGGGGGGAGCAGATTGCTACGAATGATTGTGACTCGCATGTGATTTCGCTTAAAACTTTTGGTATGTCAGAGGTGCATGTTATATATGTTATAGCTCCTCTTATGCAGTTGTAACATCCTTGAATGGACGCACTAGGTATGTCACATTTGAAATCGTCAACAGTCGTGAGTATGTTTGTTGATGTTCAAGTCTAAATTTATGAGGAGTTCGGCCGACGCCTCTACTGTTCGTAGTGTTACTATAGCATCTTGCCCCTCTCCCTGGATGTGTGCATTTGGGAATTTGATGGGCAGAATTTGGTTTATAGCTAGTTTCGAAACGTTGTTGTGCGTGCAGTAGCAATTTATGCTGTCTTCTGCCGGTTTGCAGGAACACGTGTCACGTATAGAACATCGCGTTGTGTTCAAGTTGTTGGTGGGGTTGCCCGTATCCTCCCAGCATGCATAGCTGAAGCTATCGTGATGCTGTAGCTTGGCGAGGTAGCCCGGGCCTCGTATAAAGCGGTCCGACAAAACAGGCATATGTGCAGATTCAAGCATCGCAAGCTGTACGTTTGTTCGTCCTAACCGTTTTTGTACGTTTTGCTTGAGTTCGACGGTTTGGATAAAGGATCTGGCACCCCAGTTCATTTGTTCGAATGTTATGCTTGCTTTTTCATTCCATGTGGGGCAGTGAAACACTTCGTACACCGCATCATTGACTGGTACGTGGTACACTCTATAAAATAAGCAACCGGATGAGGGGAACCCGCACGAGCACCCAATACCTCCGCATGACTCCGTACAGTACGTAATTCCTATGTACTTATTTGCGGTCGCGAGCTCTTCCACTAGTGAGTTTGGGTGTATTTGTGCACATTTAAGGCCTGAGCAGGTCCCCATGTGAGGGCACCGTTTGCTGTGCTGAACTCGGGTTTCCGTGTCTCTTGTATAATAGAGTGTTTCTTTGTTGCATCTTTTAATGACCTCATTGAGTGTAATCTTGATTTGAGAAATGGTAGTATCGCCTTTTTGAATGCGTAAGCATGCTTGTGGTTGCAGAGTGTTGATTTTGAGGAGAATTTCATGTTTGTTTCGGCATGATTTATTGAATTGGTCGCATTGAGTGATGTTTGATTCGATGAGGAACGTTTGTTGACACGCGAACACTGTTTGAAGGGAAACCGAAATAGAAGATATTGCTAGAACGCGTACTAAGGTGGATGGTTTCCAATTGCTGTGTCTGTTGGATGTTACCTCGACCAGCGGTACGTTTTCGGTTCGGGTCTGACCTAACTCCGACAGCCTCTGGTAACAACTGTGTAAGACTCGTTTGAATGGATTGCAACATCTGTGTATTTTGCTGTAAAAAGCTCTGCAACATTTTTTGAGACAGAGTGCTGCAATCGCTGCTATGAGTAAAATCGTATACAGCCCCATTGCTGTAACTGCGATTGCCGTACGTGGCCAACAATGTGGGTTCGTAATCATAACCGTGCAAAAATTGCATTTGATTTGTTCGCAGAAGGGACTCGCTGGACATCTGAGTTGCACTGTGTTCGTTTCATTGGTTCGTCTCGTTTTCAGGAGTACCATGTGTTGATGTAGGACAATATCTGGTGGAAACTGTACTGTTATATTCTCATCTGGGTTGCGTATTTCTAAGCAGTGATGCTCTCCGCAAACTTCAAGTTCCGTTCCTGAGTGCAAACCATAGATATTGACGCCCCCACGAACGCACTCTGTTGTGAAGGGTATTCCTGATTTTGTGTGAGCGGCGGTACCGCGCATAAATGCGAAAATTGAAATGATCGTGATCATCCAATTGTATGCCTGAAATTTGAACGGTTGTTCGATGGTGTGTTTTTGCGTCGTTTCGTAAGTGTAGTGTATGTTTTCTTTGGCTTTCCTTGGTAGGATCTCACGTGTGTTATTTGAATCGAAACTCTCACGTGTGTTATTTGAATCGAGACTCGCATGTGTGTTATTTGAATCGTCGATCGTATTCGAATGTTTCTCTGTCTTGCTCGTCATTTCTGTTGTGTTCGTCTTGGCAGAGTCAATAGTGCGTGAGTCATCATGGATTTCTAGCGGTATGAGCTGATTGATCGAGCGTTTTATGTTGTCTCTTCGTGCTGTGCGCACTCTGACTTCTCTGATCTGTCCATCTGGGTCAGTGATGGGCTCTGTAACTAGCGCTAGTGGCCATGAGCCGCGAGGACTCTCTTCGTCCAGCATCAATACCACGTCTCCTTTCATAGGGACTTTCTTTGTGTAACTGTTTTGGCGTATTCGTTTTTGTTGATGATTTCTAAGTTCAAGAAGGTAGTGATCTCTCCACAAAGACCAGAATTTGTCTAGACGAGAGTTGATTTGCTTGAGGTTGAGAAGATTTCCTGTTTTGATGTCATAGTGGGGATGTATGTTTCGTCTTTGAGTTCGTCGTCGTTTGATATCGGGCAGATGTGAAATTGTGAGTGTTGCACGAGGAAGTCTATTGGTCGTACCACGAATGAGTCATCCACCGATGTGCCACAGTAAGTCAATGGTCGAGTATTTACCATAGCTTCCACCTCTGGTACGAGGGTCTCAAAATCGGAAACCATTAGACATTTTTTACCAATTGTCTTTCTCATGCACATCTTCATTATGCCCACCATTCGTTCGTAAAACCCACCTTTCCATGGGGATAAGGGAGTGATAAATTTCCAGTGGATTTGATGTTTGCAAAGAAATGTGTTTATTGGGTCGGTCGTTCGTTGTTGCGCGCATTGATGTGACTCCTGTGTGACTATTTGTTCGCCTAGTGTGAAGTTCGTGGCATTATCGCTTAGTATTGTTGAAGGAACTCCTCGTCGTGCGATGAATCTTCGTAAGTCCCTTTATGAATGTTTCAGCACTTAAACTGTCGAGTACTTCCAGGTGAAGTGCCCTTGTGGCCATGCAGGAGAAGAGGCAAATCCACCTTTTGGATATTCCCTCGGTACTTCGAACCTGGAAAGGACCTGCCAGATCGACACCTACATGATCGAATGGACGTGATGGAATGGTGCGACCTTTTGGCAGCGCTGGGCTGTCCGGGTAAAAGTAAGGCTTTGCATTCCATTTTTTACAGGTTATGCACGAATTAAGTATTTTTCTAACAACCTGTCTGCCCCTAGGAATCCAAAATTTTGTTCGAATGTTCGCAAGAGTCGCATTTACCCCTTGGTGCCCTGTAGCTATATGGTACTTGCGTGCTATTTGTAAAGTGAATTTATGTTCAGGTGGAAGTATGATCGGATTGACAGTATCGATGGGCAAATTTGAACTTTGTAGGCGGCCGCTGCACCGCAAAATGCCATCCTTGTCTGGGGTAAGATTTAGACTAGAATATTTCTGAATTGATGTGGCATTTTGTCTTTGAGCGAGTTTGATAAGGCATTTTTCAGCAGCCTTCACGTCGGCCGTTGTTACTACTGACGAGTGGGACGCTCGCGCCACTGCATATTTCTGACAATTCCGGTATTTCGTTTAATAGCCTCGTTTGTTTTCTTGTGCACTTGATTGTTTGAATAAATTTTATTTCTGATGAATCGCAAAACACGGGCCATTATCCGTATTGTTTTGTTCCAATCTGATGAGTTGATTGTTAAGTTATTTGGTGATCGCGAGGTTCTGACAGCGCTCACTGTTTTCGTGGCGTTGTCGGGTTGCAGTGATGTTTGGTGAACTACGTTTGAGCAAGGATTGAGTTGTTGCTCGTTGTGAACGTTCGATATGGGTTTGGGGCCTTCATTATTTTCACTTGTTCGTATCGTCTTCGCAGTACTGTTATCAGAAACATTGCGTGGCTCTAATGGAAAGTATGTGGTTGATGGCCAGCGGTGCTCTGCTTCTTTAAGAAACTTGGGTCCTTGCCACCAGATGTGGTCGACAAATTCTTTTGCTGTTACCCCTCTTGTGGCGCAGTCAGCTGGGTTGTCCTCTGTCCGTACATAGCCAAGTGTGCAGTTGAGATACTTCCCTTCGAGTTCGAGCATGAGTGTTCGAATTGCTGAGGTGCGATTATCTACGAAGGTGCCTCCTTTTTTGTTTGAGCGAATCCAATGCAACGCTATTTGCGAATCACTATAAATTCGAGCGGCTTTGAAAGGAATATCCATTTCGTCGTATATCCACTTGGTTAACTGCATCCCTAGTTGTAGTGCAAGAAGCTCGAGACGAGGGATGGTCAACTGCTTTTGGTTTTGTAGCATTTTTCTAGGTGGTAAACGGTTCCGAGCCGCGAGGATGTGGCAGTGTATGTTGTTGTCGTCGTCTGCTATTCTCAAGTAAGCGCACGCAGCGAATCCGCGTTTGGAAGCATCAACGAAGGTGTGTATTTCGTAGTTCTTTTTTGATGCTCGTGTGACAATTGGTCGTTTGACGTTAATGTGGAAATTTCCGCCTTGTGAACAAATTGTGCGCCATTGTGTGTCATCTTCGGTCGTTAGCGGAGTGTCCCAATTGTATTCCCGCTGCCACAAATCCTGCAAAAACAGTTTCGCGGGAAATAACAGAGGAGTTAAAAGTCCTAAGGGATCAAACGTAGAATGAGCTGCTCTTCAATACAGTTCTTTTCGTGGGTTTTGGTACATATTTGAGTTGTGAGTGAAGGTGGAAATGGTCGGATTTGTGATCCCAAGGGACCCCCAATATTGTGTGTGATTTGCTGCTTGAAAGGTCCGAAGGAAGTATTTTGGCGTTGCATTCCTGATCGTTCGTGATGTACTCCCGCAAGTTCATGGACATGTCACCAAAAAGTTGTTTACTTTGTTTATACTTTTTGAACACATTCGTCCGAGCTTGACGCCGTTAGTAGAACGTTATCAACGTACAGGTTCCGAAGTATTTCCATAGAAGATCGCACGTTCCTTTCGGTTCTCTAGCGAATATCGTATTGACATGGCCAAAAGAAACGGAGAAGCATTTATTCCAAAGGCGAGCCTTTTGAACCGAAATATTTTTATATTGTCGGCTGACGGTGGTTCGTTCGTATTCTTCAGCCACAGGAATCGTACCGCATCTCTATCGACCTTGTGGAGGTAAATTGTGTGGAAGGCCTTTTCAACGTCAGCTAAGAGCAGTTTGTCTCCGACTCTTGCGCGGAGAAGTATTCCGCTCAAGTTAGGAAGGAGCAAGGGGCCTTGGTGTACAACATCGTTTAGGCTTAACTCCCCTCTACGTTTAGATGACGCGTCCAAGACTATGCGAACCTTGGTTGTATTGCTACTTGGCTTCAATACAGCCTGGTGTGGTATATAGTACAACGGACAGTCTGCTTCCGGGGGATTGTCTGCTGGTTCGATTATGTGTTTTCGTAACTGTTCGTCTATTATTCTGCAGTATTCAGCCCACAACTGTGGGTTTTTGCTCGACAGTTTGAATTGTTGGTGAAGTCTGCTTGCTGCAAGACTATAGTTATCCGCTAGATTATTTTTGTTGTCCTTCCAAGGAAGTCTCACATAAATCTTTTTATCTCGGATTTCCACCGTTGCATAAAAGTTGTTGATAACACGTTCGACATCGTCTTGATGAGTGAATTCGTTCGTGATGCCCATGTCTCTCAAGCTATATGAGGTGGAGTAGTCGAAAATATCTTCCAATTGAGTTGCTAGTGCGAGTCGAGAACGCGGCTCCTCGTTTTGTAAGTCACGAGATCGTACACCAGAAACGACTAGTCCAAAAAAGGAAAGACTAGTATGCAGCCCTGATGGAAGCTGTAACGGGGGTTGTTCGTGAGGGAATAGTAGATGAAAGTATTCGATCCCTAGGAGAATTTCTGGGGTTATTGTTCGAGAGTCGGGAGATTCGGAAATTAGAGAAAGTAAAAGAGTATCGGAAAAATGAGTTTGAAGAAATTGCAAGTCTGCGACGGACAAGTCGCAAAAGTGAAGTGGGTCTGTAAGACGACTCTGTGTGAATAACGAAACAAAAATGTGATCACCAACTTCATTAAAGAGACTTACTTGAACGTGAGAGGTTTTTCTTCTTTCGGCGCGTCCTCCGAATGTTGATACGATGATGGTCCGTTCCGATCGCGTAGGAAGATGCAGTCGTCGAACGGCTTCATTAGTTATAAACGAAGAATCAGATGCGGAGTCCAGTAATGCGGTGAGTGTCTCCATTTGTCCTGTAACGGTATTGCGTATGCGGACGGGCACCGTCATTAGACGTGTGCATTGTGATTTTTGTTCGCATTGAGTGTGATTTGAGCTTGTAATTATTTGTTCGAATGGTTCTACTTCAGAGGGGGGCGGGTTACATGTATTGTGCGGATTCTCGAAATTATGACTATTGTTGGTAGTGGCGTAATTAACGAATGTTACGCGATTGTGAGTCCGACGACTAGGAGAACTTGGTGATTGCGAGCGGTGGGGGGACGCGCTGCGCGATCGGTAAGGCTGGTCGTAATTAGAATATGTACGCCGAGGTGGGGTACTTGACCGTGAGCGCTGCGCTGCGGAAGGAGAAGCATGCGTAGGAGGAAATTTGTTACCACTGTAGCCTGTTGTAGGGGAGAAGCGTCGAAAGGCGACATTGTGTCGTTTGTGAGGGGTTGGTGTTCGGAAACGTCGAAAGCCTCCATTGTTGCGGCTCGTCTGAGGTAGCGGTGACATCCGTCTAGGGGACTCGCTCATATTACGACGATTGTAAGGAACTGGCGAATACGTACGTCTGTGAGTATATGTCGATTTCCTGGACCATCTTTGTGCCGCAGCAACATCTTGTTGATAGCATAGAATTGAGTGGTGCGGTCCCGTGCAGTACTGGCATCTAGGTTTATGGCACTCAAACGTCTGATGTCGTTCTGCTGAAGCATATAGAGCATGCCTTCAACTGCCTCAGGCGGTTCAGTTTGTCTCTTTTTGTTCGATATTTGTTGCAGTTGGCGAATCGATGAGGTTCGTTGCAACCCGTGCAGCAAAGTTTGTTTGTATTTGTTCGTATGTGAAGTACCGTTGGGACTGTCGTTCGATCCAAGGTCCTTATTCTGCATGAAGCTAACATGAATGCGTCTTTTAACTATAGTATCAAGATTATCTAGGAGTTCCGACATGGACCAAATTTTGTTCGAGTCATACTCTCTTTTTGCTGCTTCCTCTTGTATACCCTTGGAGAATTTATTGAGCACTGTTTGTAACAAATTAGTGCTATCTACAGCTTCACCTTGTCTCTTCATTTCTGCAACTAGTGCTAAAATATCGTTATAGGTGTTTTGTAATTGCCTTGGGTCTTCCCCACATTTGGGCAAGGATTGCAGTTTCCGCAGTAACAATGTCTTGTTACGACGAGTGTCATCATACTGCGCCTTGAGTTGTTGAATTGCAAGTTCGTATGATCTGCCATTCCTGGGAATCATCCTCAGTGCTCTTTCTGCATCTCCTTTGCACGAAGCCAAAAGTATGGAGAGCTTCTCAAGATTTGAGTATGGTTGGTTATGTACCAATTCTTGAAATATCTCCCAGAAAGAGTCGAACTCCCCAGGCTTGCCGTAAAAATCCGGCACTCGTAGTTCTTGTCCGAACAAGTAACGCATCAATGAAGAAGATCCTTGATTTAGGAGTCTCAAGGGGTCCACGGACTGGTCCCCCTCCTGGATTGGTAAGGATGTGCTTGCTGCACCTGTTGCTGTGTTTTGTTCGATTGCAGGTTCGTTCGAAATCGCTTGGAATAAGGATGAACATCTTTTTGAATTTGTGTCTTTCGATGTCGTGATGTCAGGTTTTTGTTCGGGGTCCGCTAAGGACTGTTCTTGGCACTCTAGTTCAATAAGACGAATCTCCAACTTTCTTCTCAATTGAGCGCTGTGGTCCATTTTTTGTTCGGCTTGTTTCTCTCCCCAATAGCTGTCCAGCTGTGATTCCAAAGATGTGCCCAGCTCCTCGTTTTCATATTTGATTTCATCAAGAGCTGTTACGCAGGAACAGTAGTCTGACATGAGACTCTCTTCTTTTTCATTGGTCCGGGTGATCAGGTTCTGTAGTAATGCTTTGTTTCGACAATATGTATTTGACCAGTTCGAGCTTGTTCGTGGGAAAGGTCCAGGGTTCCTTATACCTTTCTCCTTCTGCGTTCAAGTTGGTGAGCTCGTTAAATTGACGTGTAAGGCGTTGTTTCCACGTCTTCAGACTAAAGTCTGTCATCGGTTGGGTACGTGGGGCCATCCTTCGATGAAAGAAATGACCGAGATTTTTGTAGAAGCGCGATATTGCAATGAAAGGCTCAGGAATGTATTGGAAGGCGGGGTTTTTTGTTGATTCTTGCGTTGTTACGTCAAACACTAGATAATGAAAGACAGATAGGGTTTGTTTCTGTTCGATGTTTTGAGAATGACTGAAATCTACTGTAAAGTACCGATGGCATGGGAATCGCCGTCGTTGCGATTGGTATGAGGGCAACAAGGGACCACGTGATTCTCAGAAAGGAAAGGAAGTGATCCGTACTGAGAACCGCGTTAAGAACGTTTTGTTTGGCCTCTTGGTAGATACTTGAGCGTGTCCGTTTTCCAGACAGTTATTGCTCTTTCTTCAAGGAATCACACGATTCCCTTTGAAGTCAGTTATTTCAGGTTGACGTCCCTAGGCTTTAATTTGGGTATGCCTTCCCTAGACTTTTGTTTCGGGTAGCCTTCCCTAGACTTTTACTTCGAGTAGTCTTCTCTAGGTGTTTATTTTGAGACACCAGCTCTATTTGACCTTTTTAGGTCTTTTTTTTTGACTGCAGAGTGACAAGATGAAGATTTGACAATAGGACGAAAGAGGTGAAAGGCATG